ACTTCAATGGTTTATACACTAGAAGGGCTTTCTATGGGACCTTTGGGTGTGGGGGAGGGGTACGCTTTTAGTTGCTTATAAACCTATGACATTCAACTTTCAGTGGTAGGTACAGTCATCTACCTTCTTTGGGGAAGTCAGTCAATTTCTGGTCAGGATGCTGTAGCATTCTGTCAATCATTGTTACCAAACAGTGTTGATACAGATGCAACACTCTCACTTCACACAAGTGTAATTCCAGTCAGTGGTTGGCACTTTGTAGCTGCTCTGAACCGAATGCTTCTTACGCAACCCTGTTCCTCCTCCACTAACAGTTCTGCTCCTTAGGGACGTGAACATGTGGTTGAAAGGTCAGTGCTAAACACAGCCTGGGAGATGACACGCAAGGTTTCCAAAGGACAGGAGGCAAACTGGGACTCCCTGAGGAGACCCAGGCCTTCCCTGTGACTAACAAAACCAAAATAAATATATGTAGATGTGTAAAACTTTGCAGAAGGAGGAAGTTATTAAGAAAATATATATAACATGCAGAAAGTTACACAATTTGCAGAACTCAGTCTTCCTTGATATACAATCTGCAGAAGAAGAGTGTGCATGTGTGTGTGCATGTGCTAGTAGGTCTCTGCGTAAAGTTACAGTCCTGCTTAATATTCTTTGTTTTAAGGAAAAAAACCCTTCCAAATCTACAGGTTGGGCACATATTTTTTGGCCCGTGGTACTTTACTCCACTGCCACCTTCTTATGCATAGCAGAAAAGGACAAGCTATTCTGACACATAAATCCTGTACATATATGCAGTATGCCCTGCAGTGCATGTGTCCATTTTGGGGTGGTGTGGGTTTTGTGGGTTTGTGTGTGTGTGAGCATGTGTGCCAGGGTTCCAGAAACTCCCGTTTGCTTCTCCCTGAGAAGTTCTGAATGTCTCGGGCTGACTTGTAGGTCATCAGCCGAGTCCACAGAGCTCAGCATCCCTGTTCTAGGTCAAGAGGCTATTCTGCAACTTTACCATAGCTGACCCTCACAGCTACACTCAGAACAGCTTTGCTGCTTGAAAATGGGCACGGGGCGGGAGTGTGGAGAAATCCTGTCTCTGAATTGCCAAATCAGGGCCGATCACATTTCTCGACAGCAGAAGCTCTGGAATAATTAATTCCCTTCCTCTCTTTTACGAGCAAGGAGACTGCAAAAGTGCAGCAGTTCTTGCTTTTTGTTTTAGTCTTCCTTTTAAGGCTTAAGTAATTAGGTTGCAATCCCATGGACATTCACCTGGAGTAAGTCACATGGAACACTGTGAGACTTACATCTGAGTAAACATGGACACAATTATACTACATGAAGCTTTTTATGTCTGTGCCAAAAAACCCCAAAAATTCCAGAAGACCCAAAGACAACCTATCTTCAGACTAAGAAAACTGCCTGAACATAACCGTGACAAGCTCCACTTGATCAACTAAAAATGGTATCAGGATTATACAGTCAGTCAGTTTCCCCAGTCTGCAAACCGATCAACAGCAGGAAAATCAATTTTTAAATATTGAAGGACCAGTGAAACAAACACATTGTTGCACAATGCAGAGAAATTCCTAGAAGGGGAAAAAAAACTGATTTTCATTCTTGATTTTCAGAGTTCAACCATTGGGTGAAGTCATCCACCAGCACAAGGTTAGGTACCATCGGTATGCTGGAGATAACCAATTATACATCTCTACCCCGGGCCAACCAAGTGATGCTGTTGAGATTCTTTCTTGTGCCGAGATGGGGCTTCAACCCAACCCTAGGAAGACCAAGTGGCTTTGGGTTTTAAGGCCCACGGATCCGGAGGTTTACCATTCTTAGCAGTAGGACCATTCTTGATGCAGACAGAGCTGGTACACAATTTGGAGACCCTCATGGTTCCTGTTGAAGGAAAAGGTGGCAGTGGTGGGCACAAGGGCTTTTGCCCAGATTTGTCTTGTGCATCAACTGCAGCCTTTCCTGGATTGGGAGGCAATACTCATGGGTACTCATGCCTTGGTCACCTCCCAAATGGATTGCTGCAATGTGGTGCCCTTGAAGACCACTTGGAAGCTGCAGTTGGTCCAGAATGAGGTGGTGCGGAGAGTTGTGGGTGCACCTCAGTACACCCATATTGCACTGCTATTCCATGGGCTGCGCTGCCTCCAATAGGTTTCTGGGTGCAATTCAAGATGTGGTTACCACCTATAAAGCCCTTCAGGGCACAGGGTGGGATTATTTGCAGAACTATCTTTCCCCGATTGTTTCTGGCTGGCCCATTAGATCCAGCAGGTAGGCATGCTCCAGGTCGTCTATTAAGCAGTGCCCCATCTGGTGAGACCCAGGAAGTGGGCCTTCTCTGTCATGATGCCTACCTTTTGGAACACTATACCCTCTGAGATTCATTTGGCCCCAACCCTGTTGCCATTTCATAAATCCTTGAAGAGCTAGATGCTCCCCCAGGCATGGGGCCTGTAGATTGGATGAGCCCACCATTGTGGTTTTCTTTGGCATGACTGTGGTTGTGTTGTTGATTGCCCTTGAGCACCACTGTGTTGTTGTTTATGTTGTTAATCATGATTTTTGTTTTGTTCATTTTTACTCCTATGTTTGCCACCCAGAATTGTGATTGCGAGATGAGTGGCTAAATAAATAAATAAATAAATAAATCAAATACACTTTGAAATTACTACTTTCACTCTGCAGCTTGCAATAATTAAATGCAATCCTCCCCATTAATCACTTAAAGAATAAGCTGACTAACACTTAAATGCTAACTGCTCAGTTACTTTGTGTACAACCATTATTTGAGCTATGTATCAGTCCTAATTGAGGTGGGGGTCTCCAGGGAGAGTAAAGTTAATGCTTGACACTCCCCCACTTGCCAGGCAGTTAGACCACCATAATGGTGGGCATTTTTCAGCTAATGACAATGAATGCCTCTGAATATATGAAGAGGCTCTTTCTTCTTTTAACTAAATAAGCCCAAATTCTAAATTTATGATGGGCATACACACCTTAAAAACTTTGGGAGATCACTGACACATTGCCCCAGAAATGGAGCATTTGATGGCAGAATGGTGGAATTTACCACATTTGTCTTGGAACAGCCATGCAACTAACAGGTTATTTGGTCTTTAGAACAGAGCTGGTTGCCCCATGTTCCTTCACTTCCTGTCGTGAGTTGTGTGGGAGCTCAGACCATCCCCCTTCCCAGGAGTCTATTCTCCTTCTCCCCAGTCACCTTCTTCAGATGCCTGACCATCGGGACTTGCTGCCTGGAGCACCAGAGATTGAGAGGAGAAAGTCTAGGGAGAAAAGGGTAGAAGACAATGCAATAGGCCAGTTCAAGAAAGGCAATAAGGGAAAGGAAAGGAAAAGAAAAAGGAGATGTGTCAGTGCAAGGCTGAACAGAGAAGACGCGGTGCGAGAGGGGAGGCAATAAGATTGACAGACTGCACAAAAGTCTTGAAAAGAAATCAGTGCAATGTTAGACACACTGCTGGTTACAGCCTTTCCTGGTACCTGTGAGTGCCTTGAATTGTTGACCTGGACCACAAGGATCATCTAGCTCAACCCTCTGCAATGTGCCAGAAAACCAATCAAGTCATCCTCAAGAGGTGTCTGTCCAATCTTTTCTTAAAAATCTCCAGAGATGGAGAACCCAAAGTCACTATGGATAGACTGAGTGCCTGGAGGCTTTGTTTGACCTCTGTGGTTCCAGGGACACTCCATCGTGTACTTCCCCATGCAAGACTGGAGTCCTCTTGGACTCACAGCTCCTACTCAAAAAGCAGGTGGCAGCTGTGGCCAAGAGGGCCTTTGTGCAGGTTCCCCTTGTGCCCCAGATGCACCCATTCCATCACATATGCCTTGGTCACCTCTCGACCGGATTACTGTAGCATGCCATACATGGGGCTGCCCTTCAAGGCTACTCAGAAGCTACTTCTGGTCCAGAATGCAATGGCATAGGCAGTGATGGGCCTGCTGTGGTATGCGTACATATCCCCACCGCTTCACAAGCTGCACTGCTTGCCAATTGGCTTCTGGGGTACAATTACCTATAGTCTTGTATGGCTTGCAAGATCATCTGTCTACACAATTTAGCAGAGGGTGCATGTTCTGGGTGCCCACTCTAAAAGAAATTGGGGGAGCCTGGGACCCCCAAAGCGACATTTTTAGCAGCAGCCTCCCATAAATCAATCAAAATTCTTGTCCTTGTATGATATTTCTCAAATAATTACATTATTGCTATTTAAGTTAAGAGATTTGTTTGTACATTGATAGATAGACAGATAATGATAGATGGGTGTCTTTAAGCCTTAGGCTTTGGTGTAGGGGTTTCATGTTCCACGTTCTCTAGGCCTGAAAGCCTGCTGGGTGTCTTTGGGATAGGCACTGAATCATAAACTAATAGAAGGCCTCTATGAGTTCACAGAATACACTACACCACTGCAAAACTACCAAAATTAAAAATAATCAAGCTAAATATGTTCTGTAAATGAAGATACCGGTCTTATAATCGCTCTGTTTAAGTGTATGTGAATGCCATCTGACATAAGGGCTTCACAGAAAACACTGTGGTGGCCTTGGCTACATGGGTGTTGTATAAAGCAGACCCTTTAATTTGCTGCTGTGATCATAGGACAGCCCCAAACAAGCCAAACAACGTCATAACCTGGTTCATGCACCACAGTCAAGCAGTGGCTGGGTTCCATGACACGCTGAGCCACAAAATGCCCACCTTCTTCTCAGCTACGAAGGAGGCAGTGCAACATTTCTGGAGCAAGACTCAAGAAGACTTTAAAATAGAGGTTAATTTAGAGGTGGGATGAAGGACAGCAGTTTTTTCAAAGTCAAGAGTTGCATTCTGAATTGGGCTGAAAAATGTACTGGCTGTCATTTTCCAATTTCAACCAGCATCAGTGTGGTTGAATTTTATGCCAGGTTCTGGATTATTTTCAGAATAGCCACCGTGACGCTGGATCAGGGCTCGCAAGCATCACATCTTAGTCCACCCTCACCCATGGAATCTTCCTGGGTGATTTGGGGCCAGTCAGCCCTATCAGAAGACTTCTGTTGTGGCCATACACCTCAATAGATGGCCTTGATAAAGGCCAGAGATAAACCCACTAAAAGAACATAAGCAGGTTCATGGGAAATGCATTGCAATAATTTGTCATGGATATCCCTAGCTGAAGCATCAGTGAGGCCAGGACTAAGTTGACTTGCCTGTCACCTCTGATTCAGACAAGTCCAGCCCCTCAGGTCACACTGTTAATCTTTTCCCCTGCATGCACCTCAACCCCCATTCAGACACTACGTGCCCCCAATGGAAGCACCGGTGCAGGCCATTTGGAGACTGGAGGTATCATAGCAAAACTTTGAGATAAGAATAATATAAAATAGAGGTTCCTACCATCAAGGAAGGACAAGAACTACCTCCTAACAGTTTGGGATAGAAGGGAACAATGGTCAGAAGTGTAAATACCATTGACACACCCAGAAGATACAAGTACACTGCAGTCCTACCATCCAGTTGCAGGCTCAGGTTATCTAGGACCAAGATAGCTTCCATTCCAAATGATACCAGAACCCACACCCAAAGGAACCTGTTTCCTCTAGTTTCTGTTCCAGCTTAAAACAACAAATATCTGTTTATAACATCAGCAGTGTACCTTTTTTCTTTTTTACTTGAAAAAAGTTTTGATATTAAAGAACCTAATTTTACTCCGTATATTACATTTTTCATTTACTTTCAAAATTACCATAATTACCAAAAGGAAATTTGACCCTGAATTTAAAATGATCTCTTTCAAAAAAAAAAAAAGGAAGAGGAAAAAAAAACAAAATACAAGAATCCTGTGCAATGTTCAATTTCTCAAACTTGTTAACCAAGGGTTGCCAATTCCAGCTTAAACCAAATTAATTGCCTATAAAATAAGGCATCCCATATGTAAATTTAATCCACCATGAGTACATAGAGTATACACACAGGTTATCATTCCATACACAAATTACTGTCTTTACACACCCACACTTACATACATCTCTTTCCTCCTTCTTGTAGAAACAGAAAAGGAAAGACAAGGAAAGGGTTAGTGCTCCAAGTAGAAAAGAAAAAAGAAAGGGAGAAGTAAAATGAAATGAAGGTTGGGTAGAAGAGAAATTATGCAGTATTTAAAGATTTTTGCACTGGGCTCAACAAGCATCAGCTTCACTCTTAATACATCCCACTGAGTCCAGTGGTGCTCACTGCCATGTTTAGAACTTTTGAAATCTTGTTGTCATCTCCTCCTCTTCCAGGGGAAAGAGGGGTGCATGCCCCACCACCATGGGGGGGGGCAAGTGTGCATATTAAGACAGACAAGAGAGAAGTCCCTACCCTCATTTCTGCCTCCATGTTGGGGAGGATACTCTGAGGAGAGAGAAGGTCTTCACTTGGCATGAGTTTTTATTCAGGCAAATGTCCGACAACCTTCTCTTTTTATAGATGTTTGTTTTGGAAGGCAACTCAACTTTGTTTTTAAATAAGAGTATCCATCCAACTTACCGTACAGGCCTTCATCCTGAAATGCATTAGAAGCAACACCAAAACAAAATTTCACTTGCCAAGGAGCATCCTCAACTCCTTACCTTGTTTTCTGAGTTCTGTTCCCTTGAGGACTGGCAGCAGAAATAGTGGCATTGGAAACCTGAGTCTCTGAAGATGTGTTGATGGCTTCCTCGTGGGTCAGCTCCATAAAAGTGCCATTAGCAGCGTAAGCCAGCAGGTCATCACTATCATCATAATCAACATAGAGATGGTCTATTTCAGGCCCCAAAGCATTGATGGGGTTCACTGGAGAAAAGATACTGTTCAAGGTCTTGTTCCAGATGGATTCTTTCAAATCTGACATCTTATCCCCAAGGCTATGGATGATTGCATTTTCTGAAAGGAATTCTTGAGAAGGGAGAAGGGAGTCCAGTTCTCTTCCATTTCCTTCCACCTTATAATTGCTTTTAGTTGCATTTGACTCTGGAATGGGAAGGGGGGGAAAATCAAAGATAAATGAAGAATTGGCCAAATTCAAGAAGTGAAATGGAAAATGTCAGTTGAGCTACATCTCAGAATTCCAATGTTCTAGTGTTCTCATCTTTATAACTCTTGTTGCAAGGATTGTAAATCCAATCTTTATAATTCCATAATGCAGATGGGGAATTCTGAGGCTGAGAGACAATGCTGGGTTCACACAGTATATCCCATGGTTTTGCTGTAAAATAAAACTTGGTACATCTAGAGTTACTTGGCAGAGAGAATCTGGAGCCCTGGACATGGCCCAATTTGACCCAGTTAGTTCGATGTGACTCACCCAGATTTGGAAGGAAATTTAGCAACAGAGCGCTCTGTTCTCACACGGTATGGGAACAACACAAATAGCAGTAACTTTTTCATTTCAACTTTTCAGACTGTTCTAAGGGGATAATAAAGCATGCCAAAATTCATGGAAGTGTGTGCAGGCTTTTCAAGTTAAGCACCTTTAACATCTCATTTTTTAAAAAAGTGCCCATAATTTGCTCCAGCAAAAAATGTGATGTTATTTGGTACAATGATAGCCATTACGATGGGAAACATGCTTGCTAAATATTGCACAAATAGAACGGGAGAATGTGTAAAGGACAGAGTTTTTCACAAGAAATACGGTGCCCCTTCCTGAATGAGATGAAGAAGATTGTTCTGGGCTGGGGTAATGTATAGGGAATTTGGAGTGAGGTACAAGCTGTGGAGGCACTCAGTAATGATCACTTAAGTATAGGAAGGAATAGGTAATGTTACATGGCCCAAGGATTCCAGAGACGCTATATAGCTGCACAGAATATGGGGGAGAAGCAGGAAGAAAGTGGAATGCAAGAACTGAAGGGTACAATTTGTTCAAAAAGAACAGGTCACACCAAGGGGAGAAAGCATGGTATTACATATGAAGGAAATACACGCACACATTGAGATCAGGAATTTGAGGGTCTACCCAGAGCATCTGGATAGGAATACAAGGGGAAGCAGCAAATGTATTCTTGGAGGTAGAGTTAGAGATTGCCAAACTAGGCAGACGATCTGGAGAAAGTCCTCCTGTCACACCAAGGGGAGAAAGCCTGGTATTACATATGAAGGAAATACACGCACACATTGAGATCAGGAATTTGAGGGTCTACCCAGAGCATCTGGATAGGAATACAAGGGGAAGCAGCAAATGTATTCTTGGAGGTAGAGTTAGAGATTGCCAAACTAGGCAGACGATCTGGAGAAAGTCCTCCTGGATTAATTTCTAAATGTTTATGGAGGAAAGACACAGTAATAATAGGAGAGTTCAACTACTTGGACATCTGTTGGAAAACCAACTCAGCCAAAATGGCAAGGTCCCAAAATATTCTTCTGTGGCCTTGCTGACTGTTTTATTTTTTAGGAGGCTAATGAAAAACAAGGAGATTGACTCTCCTAAAGATCTGAGTCTAAGCAGTAGAATCCTTGCAAGGAAGTGATTCTCTTATTTTGGGGTTTAAGGTTCTACAGAAAAGGGAATTGGTCATACATCCACACTAGATTCAGGAGATCCAATTTCAACATGCTTTAAAAAGTACTAAGCAGAATCCCAAGGACTGAAATCCTCAGATAAAGGGAGTATAGGGACATTGGGAACTTCTCAAAAATATGTTATTGAAAGTAGGATTGCAAACCATTCCAATGAGAAAAAAAATGGGGAGCTGGGGTGTTTAGGAAAGGGTGCATAAAGTTCTTTTTACTGAATGAAAAGGTAAAAGGAAATGTACAGGAAATGGGTGAGAGCCCAGGGTTGGGGGGATGGAAGAGGTCTAGTTCACCCTCTGATGGTTGTATGATTGGGTGTCCCTGACAGTCTGGTGAGAGCGGACTGGCTGGAGGTTGCTGGGAGTAAGTATGGGAGGGGGACCCATTAGTCAGAACTGCTGAGGCCTGGATGGGGTGCAATAGGCTTCGCCTCAACCCAAGCAAGACCAAGGGACTCTGGGTTTTTGGACTTCCTGGTACCGGGAACCTTCTATCCTTGGTTCTGGATGGGGTAGCACTGTCCCAGATGGACTTGGTGCACAATCTGGGGGTCCTCCAGGACTCGTGCCTCCTGCTCGAGGAGGAGGTGTCAACCTTGGCTAGGGCAGCCTTTGCACAATTTCCGGTTGTCAGTTGCTCCTGTTCCTGGACCACAGTCACTCATGCCATAGTCCACTCCCACTTGGATTACTGCAATGCACTCTACATGGGGCTGCCCTTGAAGAGTATTTGGAAGCTTCAGTTCCTGCTCTGCAAGCTGCCCTGGCTCCCAGTGTGCTTCTGGGTGCAATTCAAAGTGCTGGTTGTCCCCTTTAAAGCCTTTCATGGCCTGGGATCGGGACTGTCTCTCCCCAGTTGTTCCTACCTGTCCTATCTGGTCTAGTAGGATGGTCATGTTCTAGGTACCATCGGTGAAAGCGTGTCAGCTAGCAGGGCCCAGAAGGAGAGCCTTTTCTGCCATGGTGCCTGACCTTTAGAACCTGATTCCAGCTGAGACCAGACTAGACCTGATCCTACTGGCCTTCATAAGGCCCTGAAAACTTGGTTTTGTGCCTGGGCCTGGGACTCTGGGTGTGCAATAGAGCCCATCTCTTGGCCTTGTTGATGGTCATGTTTAAGATGCTTGGCTGCTATGTCTTTTTATTTTTCTATTTATCTATTTTTTTGTAAGCTGCCTAGGGTCACGTATGTGAGATGGGTGGCTATATAAATCAAATAAATAAATGGGAAATAATCAGTGAGGTATATCAACAAGTAGCTAATATTTGCAGAATGAAAGTTAAGGCAGATGCAGAAAAGGAACTTACGGATTTGTTTCAGTTTTGGTCCTTTTGAATCAGTGTTGATTCTTGGTGACTGGAAGCGGTTTGCCCTTCCCAGGGCTGAGAGGCAGGGAATGGCCCAGGGTCCCCCCACTGGCTTCATGCCTAAGGTAGGGCTAGAACTCACAGCCTCCTGGTTTCTAGCCTGGTGCCTTAACCATGACACCACACTGGCTCTCAACTTAGGTTTGCAAGAATCTTTTTGGCTATATTGGTAGAAAACTGAAGAAAAAGAAAGGGGTAGATTCCTTGCTTGGAGAAGATGTCAGGGTGTTTAACAGGTGATGGGCAGTAAAAGTTGTAATTATAGAGCGTCAGGCTAACATGGACAATTTAAGTTTTCAGAACAGACTGGAATGATTACACCCAAGAGCCTTGAAAGAAGGACCTCAACATCCTTTTCTCTCACCTTTTGAAATCATGGAGGCTGGGCATTGTGCCAGAGGACTGGAGAGGGACAAATGTTTTTTTCTTCAAAAAGGGAAAAAAGATGGTTAATTACAGACAAATCAACTTGGTATTGATACTAGGCAAAACTCTGAACTGTGTACAACAGCTGATTTTGGATGATTTAGGAAAGAATGCATTGCTTGACAGGAGCCAGCATGATATGTTAAGAACAAGTAATGCAAACCTACTTTGCCTCCTTTTTTTCATAGAGTGACCAGCTTAACTGACCAGAGCATGTAGGGAGGTAGTGTAACCTGACTTCTGTAAAGGATATGACGATGTCTCCCATGAGATCCCAGCAGAAAAGATGGCAAAATATGTGCATGACTGTGCTACCATTAGATGGACATGGAACTGCTTGAAGAATTGTACCCAAGGAGAGCACATCAAAGCCTCTGTGTCATGCTGAAGTCTCGAATGGTGTACTGCAGGGCTCCTTTCTAGGCCCTAAACACTTCAACATATTTATAATGATGAGGGCTTAGAAAACAACATTATCATATTTGCAGGTGACACAAACGTAGGGACAACAGCAAACACCTTAGAAGATAGCTTCAAGATTCAGAAGGATCTTGACCAACTGGAACACAATGGGTAGAAACCAACAAGATGAACTTCAACGGGGGCAAATATAAAGTCCTTCGTTTGGATGAGAAATATCAAAGGCATGAAAATAGGATGAGGGGAATCATGCTGGGCAGCAGGACATGCAGAAAGGACCCTGGTGTCTTGGTGATCACAAATGAACTTGAGCTAACAGTGTGATATAGCTACAAAAAAGCAAATGTAATCCTAAACCACATCAATGGAAATATAATGGCAAGCTTGAGAAATGAAAAATTGTTCCTCTATTCTGCCTTGGCCAAACCATCCTAGAATATTTTATCCAGTTCTGGATGCTACATTTTAGGAAGTACTTTGACAAACTGGAGCATGTCAGAGGAGAGCAACTAAGAAGATAAGGAAACTGGGGGACAAAAACACCTTAGAAGAACAGTTGGCAGCACTGGGTATGTTTAGCCTGGAGAAGAGAAAACTGCTGGAAGGCATGACAGCTGTCTTCAAGTACCTGAATGATGATCATGAAGAAGATGGGTTTAAATTATGAAGAAGCAGATTTCAGTCAGAGATCAGGAGGAATTTCCTAGAGATAAGAGCTGTTCAGCAATGGAACAGGCTGCCTTGCCAGGAGAGGTGGAGGTGTAATTGTTCAAGCCAAGGCAGTTGAAGATGCTTTAGCAATGGATGCTGTACTGGGGAGGTGCTAGATAACCTCCAAGGTCTCTTCTGTTACATTCTATGGCTCCATCTTTATACAGCCTGCCTCATTTTTTAAATCAGATAACTTCCTTAATAGACGATGGGAATGCTGTACGTAGAACTTGATTTCACCAAAGCATTTGGTAAGGCATACAGTGACATGTTGATTAGCAAGCAAATTAAATGTGATCTGGATGTCATGACAGTGAGTGGATGCACAGCTGAATCAAAAACTATACTGAAAGAGTTCTTATCAATGGTTCCTCAACAAACTGGGGAGAGGCATTCAGTGAGGTGGCACAGAGGTCAGTGCTGGATCTTCTATTCTTCAAGCATTAATGATTTGGATGAGGAGGTGGATGGACTACTTATCAGATATGCAAAGGGTACAAAAATTGGGTGATATCATTAATACCTGGGAACACAGAACAGAATTCAAAACAATCTGGATAGCTTAGAGCAGTGTTTCTCAACCATTTTAAGATGCACAGACTTCAACTCTCAGAATTCCCCAACCAGCATGCTGGCTGGGGAATTCTGGGAGTCCATACATCTTTAAAATGGCCAAGGTTGAGAAACACTGGCTTAGAGAAATGAACTGAAAGCAACAGAACAATGCTTAATGTTTTTCACTTGAAAAAACAAATACTTGGCTTGCTGCTTGTGAAGACCTTGGAACAATAGTTGATGGCAAAATGAATGGCCAGCTGTGCAATGTGGTGGCAAAAAGGCAAATATGCTTTTGGCTACATCAGTCCAGATAGTTTCCAAAGCTCTGAAAGTCATTGTTGTGTTTGTCTAAGTGAAGGCTGGACAGCCATCTGTCTGGGATGCTTTAATCTGGATTCCTGCTCAAGGGCATCCAGCTTGAGGGCTCCCTGAAAAATTACACCCATAGAAATGAAAAACACAGCTTGAATGTCTTGCTAGAAGAAGGCCTTTGCTCCAAGAATTTTTGTGGCCATCAGACAGGACCTCGACAATGGGAAGTCATGCACACCCTTAGCTGTGGGTCTACTCACCTGCGGAGGGCTTGCTCTGCAGGGCAGGGCCATACTCAGGTTGGGTCCTGGGGTTGACTTCATTGGTTTGCTGCATCTTGCTCAGCCCCAAGTCATCCCCTCTCTCTTGCCGGCCAAACAGCAGGCTCTCCAGGCCGCCATTTTCTTGGGAGAGTGTGGCCAACAGGCTGGCATTGAGCTGAGCAAGCCCCAAGAGGAATTCTCCTTCAAGCTCCTTCTTTTCTTCACTGTCTGATTCAGAGAAGCCGAAGTATATCGGTGGCCTGTTTTTCAAATGAGGCCTGGTCTGAAGGGTATATTCATATGTTATGGATGGGTTCTTACCATTTTGGTTCCAAACCTGGAAGAAAAGGGAAAAATGCCACACATTCTGTCATGTAAAAGGGGAGGGGGGCATGGTGGATCTATGGGGTATGAAAAAGCCAGGAGCTCGAAGGCCCCAATTCTGGCCGAGGAGAGGAAACAGTATGTGATCAGCCAATCCCCTCTCTCCGTTGACACAAGGGTGTCCAGAGAAACAGAGGAAAGTGCTCACCCCGCAATGCCTCCCCCCTCAAGGAGACCCTGGGGCTCGTCTTACACTCTGCCCCTCAATGAAGTCCACTGGGCATGTCGAGAATCACAGGCCATAGGACTAAGGGCGCCATAGAGGCCATACAGCCCCACTCCTGCCCAAGGCAAGATTGGCTGAAGCATTGTGGACTGATGATTTGTTTGCTCAGGTTCGTGTGTCGCTGCAGTTCTAATGACTGGGAGTGGCTAACAGCAAACCTACACAGAGTAAAACCAGATAAAGCAGCTAATTATAGTAATCAATACCCCAACCTTTCATTCATCCCTCAGTGCTTTTCTGAAGAACCAGGCTTTTCCCACTCTTTGAAGGAACAATAAAGAGGGAGGGATCCAGATGCCAAGGCAGGCTGTTCCACAGGGGGGAGGACTTTGACAACCCACCTTTTGAATTGTGCCCATCAGTTTCCCTAGTAAGGGTGTTACATGGGTCATCACAAACTGAGTGGGACCCCCTCTCCCCAATGGTTTCTACCCATTCCACCAGATCTGGTAGCAAGGGCATGTTCCGGGTCAACAAGATTCCTAGGTGGGTCCTAGGAACTGTGCCTTCTCTGTCATGGTGCCTGTCCTATGGAACAGCCTCCCTCTGAAGATACAGATGGCCCCAACTATGCTGCCCAGTTCTGGTCACCACAGTTGAAGAAGGATACTGGAAAGAGTGCAGAGAAGGTCAACAATGATGGTGAGGCTTGGAGGCTAAATCCTATGAAGAATGGTGAAAGGAACTGGACATGTTTTCTCTAAAGAGGGTTAAAGGGAGACCTGATAGCAATCTTCCAATCCTTGAAGTGCTATCCCAGGGAAGAAGGGTTGGATGTATTCTGTGTAATGCATGAGGGCAGGAGAAGAATCAGTGAGTGGAAGCTTTACAGAGTGAGGTCCAAACTCAAATTAAGGAGGAACTTCCTGACCGTGAAAGCTATTAAACAGTAGAACAGCTCCCTCCTGAAGCTGTGGGGGTTCCATCATTGGAGGTTTTCAAGCCAAGGTTGGACAGCCTTTTTTCTGGGATGGTCTGAGGATCCCTGCCCTGGGCAGGAGGATGGAGCTCCAAAGTACCTTCCAACTCTAGGATTCTACAGTATATTTTCTATGTTAGCGAACTGCTAACAAGTCAGGTGACATTCATGCACTGGAAGATACTTTTATGTTTCAAGAAGCAAAACTTACCATGATGTTTAAACCCTGATTGGTAGGCCCCTGTGCGACAATATATTCTATGCCAGTCTCATAAATGTCCATTGGTCTCCTGTATTTGAAAATGGTTCCTGCAATATTGAAGTTTTTGGGGCTGTCTACTCTGAAGTCCCCATTGAAGTAGTAAGAACCACCTTCATCTGCAATAGCTACAAAATCCACAAAGAGAGGCCATGATTTGTACGATGCAAGTCACTGAAAGATGTATCAACAGCTATGCAATGCTATTCTGTATAACAGCTGCTGGTCAGACTTGAATCAAATAACACTCCAACTACCCAGACCACAATGGGAACTTGCATCATGTCCAGGACATTCTGATCAGCATTAGCCAGAGAAGGAAGCAGATTATTGGACTTATGTGGCTAAGAAAAAAAGTCACAGAAATAAGAAAAATATCAGAAGAAAGAAAGAAAGAAAGAAAGAAAGAAAGAAAGAAAGAAAGAAAGAAAGAAAGA